TTTACAAACATGGATATTTATTCTAACATCTAAGTTACATTATAGTAGATCAGACCAACTACAATTAACTTAATCAGCAAAACCACTGAAATTTGCATGGGAATCAAAAGGTTCAAGAGTGTGACAATCTGCTTTTTCTAAAACAAATGAGAATTACAGTAGGTCCTAAAGCAAATCAGCATCCATCTATTACACTATATTCCATCTTCCTTATATAAAGATATCAGAAATAAAAAACTAACACCCAGTTATCTCTACAAAGTTAATTATAGATTTAATTAGTGGTAAAATATTAACACACACATCCTTATACACCTCACAGCAAACCATCTCTAGATTTACACTAGCCACCCTAAAGAAAATGAAAAGATATTCCAGATGGTAAGCTGGAGATTTCCTTTACGGCAGATCAGTTGACTAAGACTTCATCAGAAGTGTTTTTTGAGATGCATCAAATGAAAACACGCTGACCATGGAGACCAGGTAACAAGAACCAACAGAGACAGACTACTGTTGTACTATAATATTCATATACAGTGTCCACACAAAATTTTATTTGAGCAGGCAGATGGTAGATAAAGTTCATAAGTAGGCTCCACATTTGATTCCCTTGCTATTAATAGAAGCCTAGGCTGCGGTGTCCGAGGTTATATCGGGCTAGACACACTCTAGTTTCCTGAATCTACCACGAAGGCCTCCTAACCTTAACATGTAAAGCATTACCTTTGTAATTGTGCAATTGATTTGTATACACAATTAAATCGGTTTACCTAAACACGCTGCACTGAAGCAATTCAAGTCAACAGGAAAAACTGTGTGTGTTTGCACACATCAATATTTTTACATTGGTTTAAGCTTAACTTACTTTGTCTTGCATAGCAAACAAAGTTTCTAGTTCACTTAATTGCACTGGCTTAACATCAATTCTTTAGGTAAGCGGAGCAACCCTACGCTGAGTGTAGGCACCCCATATACTGCCACGTATTGTCCTCCCGTATGTCCAGGAGGACTGGGAAATCTACTGCTCAACTCAGGAGTGCTGTTTCTGAGCAGATACTATGGAATTCTTTATCTAGAAAAATGAAACCTCCCGAAGGGACCTACCTCACACCCAAGACAACTTACTCTCGAATTCTACCATTAAAAGTAATAAGTAGGGTAAATATAACAGAGAAATAAGAATAGTCTTATTCCCTCAGTGTTTCCATCTGTTTATGCTGCAAATTTAACAGCATTTTTTTTATTCTTGGTTAAACTAGCTTTCTTCAAGACGAAAACTGTTTAAAATAGGAAAAGACAATTGTGAAAGCTATAAACTCTGGGATGAGAGCAGTATCAGAAGTCATTGCAATATTTACCTAAAGTAGATCAATTTGTCTGTGCTCTACTAAAATCCTACCACTAAGAGGAGCCCTAAATCTATCCCACACTGAGCACTGCAAGAAGTGACACGAATTTTTTTTTCTTACACCCCAAGATCAAGGGGAACTGTTACTTCAGTGATACTGAGGAAAGCAGAGTCACCAGAAGTTGGACGAGAACCGATAAGAAAGAATCACTTCCAGAGTAGCCCCTTGAAACCACTGAAGATCAATGAAAACAATAGGAGGAAAAAAATTCTTCCACCGGAGGGAGTCTAGCAATTATGAAAGATGCCACCAAAAAGGAAGAAAGAAGAAATTACGAAGGCAGATAGTAAGAGAAACAAAGGGGGAAAAAACATAACAAGAAACAAAGAATGAAGCCACCTCAAGGCCTAGAGCAGGTGACTACAGGCACAAAGAAACAGAGACAAAATGACAACCTTCAAGCAACAGAAAAAAGCAGAATTAGCGAAATCTCTAAGTAGAAATGCAAGAAGAGAAGGAGTCTTAAGATGCGGAGTGAGTGATGAAGAATTGTATGTTAAAAACATGAAAAGAAACGAGGAAAATGTTTTAGTATTTCCATATGTTCCTAGCGTTTTCTACTAGGTACGCCACAACTCAGGATTTATTAGGAAGAGATGAGATGGCTCTTACAAGCGCATGACATCTCACCAAAGCTAAGACAATCAAGACAGACTATTCTAGAAAGCTAGTCAGAAGAGAAGCCTCACTCAAGCACTTCAAACTGTCTTCTGGCAAATTCTTTAGCTCTCTGGTGAACGAACAGGAACACAGCGAGTTCCAAAAAGACACCCAGTTGTGAAATTTGAAGTTTACTGGCTAGGTATCACCTCCATCCAGTAACTCGTTGACTGGTCTTTCATTTTACCATTGAGTACTAGAGGAACAAAGGAGGGTATAGGGAGGTACCACATTGCTCTTCTTCTGATCAGGTACTTATGTCTTGCCTCCAGTCGGTCTACAAGCTTACATAATACGAAGGACATCTGACTTTCCCCAAACCCTGCCCTGTTATGCCCACCCAAGGGTTACCAAATTCCTTAATTTAAGGCTGAGAATAGCAAAAACAGAAGGCAAGATGAACTGCAGACTGGGAAAACACACAAAAATGGCTCCCTCTTACTCAATCTGTTCATTTCAGCATATTTGCTCACGTGAAGTCCAAAAGTATTTGGACACACTTCACGGTTAGCTGCGCTAGGCCAAGGCAGCTAGCTGGGAGCTGACAGGTACTGCCTCCCATGCACTCCGCCTTATTAGCTTCCCTGAAGGCAGCCGCTCGTTGCAAGGGCACCCAGATTCGCATAAGCGTCCTAAAAAAAAAAAAGGCACACGCACAAAAACAAAGGAAGCCCCCCCCCCGGACCCCCGCCGGGCTGGCG